AAGTGGTAAAACTGGGGATGTTGTTTAAATTTCTTATGTTGTGAATCAGGCAGATGGGCTTGAATCCCAGCCCCACTTCTATTTGGTTGTATGCCAGTGCGAAATGTACTTGGCTCCTAACTCTGTAAATGATGATATTAGTACATACGGTCTTAAAGGGTCTCGATAAACAGTCATGGTAATGGGAGCTCCTGTCAATTTTTAAAATTCTCTTTGATCTACTCAAAGTTTTTAAAGGGTAGGTTTAAAGAATATATGATACCAGAGGCCCGGTGCACGAAATTCGTGCACAGGTAGGGTTCCTACGCCTGGCTGGTGATCAGGGCCAATCTGTGGGGTGACTGGCGGGATGATTGGGGCCCCTGCTCTCACCTGCCTTGGCTGGCCTGGTACCACCCACTCACCAGCCCCGCCCCCCGCTGCTGCTGTTAGTTGGGGCCTGCAGGCTAGGGGCAACTCATGCGTTGAGAGTTTGCCCCCTGGTGGTCAGTGTGCATCATAGCGACTGATCATTCCATCATTTGGTCGATTTGCATATTAGGGTTTTATATAGATAGATGGCTTATAACTTTATTAAAGGAGGTAAGGTACAGAGTATAGGGAAAATCTAATTCATACAGTGATAAGAGTTCCCCTATACTATAGATTAGTAATGTACCAGACCTTCACAGATTTCTACACCTAATGATTAATAATACTTCATTTTCCCTAAAAGAAATTACTGTCCTAAAATTTGTTAAAATTAAACATCAAGTTTCATATTATCAATTTGGCATAATTTCAGCTTTAGAAAAGTGTATCCAAAATATCACAGATTTCATAGGTAACAGTTTTATCCCAAAAAGATAATAATCCAGCAGAAAGATGCAGACTTCTTGTGGAAAGTATTTCTAGGCTAAGAGTCCTGCATATATTATATCTTCTTAATTCTAAACAAAGGCAAAGCCAGAGCTATTTAAAAAGCTTAATAATGTTACTATGAAATTAGTAAATTGAGAGAAAACCTCAAAAAAATCGCTTCATCATATCAGAGAGAAATAGTTTCTAATATTAAGGTTTCAAACATTGGAAGTTATATTTCAATTCTCACAATTATTACAAGTTGGTTTTTAATCATCATTTATGATATATTTTAAGAAAATAATTCTATAGAGCATTTTGTAGTTTTGTAATAATGATACTTTTATTTTTCAATGTTCTATTTTCATTATTTCATATGGATTAGAAAATCACTCTAAAAAAGACAAAAGGAATTATAGTAAATCTAAAGTAATATAAAAATTATAATAAATACTAGAGGCCCAGTGCATGGAATTCGTGCACGGGGCAGGGGGAGGACGTGTCCCTCAGCCCAGCCTGCACCCTCTCCAATCTGGGACCCCTCAAGGTATGTCTGACTGCCTGTTGAGCCGGGATTGGGCCTAAAAGGGAAGTTGGACACCCCTCTCACAATCCAGGACTGCTGGCTCCCAACCGCTCTCTTGCCTGCCAGCCCGATTGGCCCTAACTGCCCTCTCCTGCTGGCCTAGTCATCCCTAACAGTCCTCCCCTGCTGGCCCAATCACCCCTAACTGTCCTCCTTTGCCAGCCTAGTCATCCCTAACTGCCCTCCCCTGCAGGCCTAGTCCCTCCCAACTGTCCTCCCCTGCAGGCCTCGTCCCTCCCAACTGTCCTCCCCTGCAGGCCTCGTCCCTCCCAACTGTCCTCCCCTGCAGGCCTCGTCCCTCCCAACTGTCCTCCCCTGCAGGCCTCGTCCCTCCCAACTGTCCTCCCCTGCAGGCCTCGTCCCTCCCAACTGTCCTCCCCTGCAGGCCTCGTCCCTCCCAACTGTCCTCCCCTGCAGGCCTCGTCCCTCCCAACTGTCCTCCCCTGCAGGCCTCGTCCCTCCCAACTGTCCTCCCCTGCAGGCCTCGTCCCTCCCAACTGTCCTCCCCTGCAGGCCTCGTCCCTCCCAACTGTCCTCCCCTGCAGGCCTCGTCCCTCCCAACTGTCCTCCCCTGCAGGCCTCGTCCCTCCCAACTGTCCTCCCCTGCAGGCCTCGTCCCTCCCAACTGTCCTCCCCTGCAGGCCTCGTCCCTCCCAACTGTCCTCCCCTGCAGGCCTCGTCCCTCCCAACTGTCCTCCCCTGCAGGCCTCGTCCCTCCCAACTGTCCTCCCCTGCAGGCCTCGTCCCTCCCAACTGTCCTCCCCTGCAGGCCTCGTCCCTCCCAACTGTCCTCCCCTGCAGGCCTCGTCCCTCCCAACTGTCCTCCCCTGCAGGCCTAGTCCCTCCCAACTGTCCTCCACTGCAGGCCTGGTCCCTCCCAACTGCCCTCGCCTGCAGGCCTGATTGCCCCCAACTGCCCTCCCTTGCAGTGTCCAGTGTATTTGGAACTGCCCAATACTAGCCACTTTCAAATGAATGAAATTGTAACTCTGTTTAGACATGGAGTTTTGGTAAAAACTTTACCAAAGAGAATTAGACACCTAACATTTTTTCTTAGTCTTTGTATATAAATTCATTGATTTATTTATTTGATAAATATTTGATTGGCCATTTTGGACCAAGTACTATAGCAGAAGCTGTAAATTAGTATAGAAAAAAACAGAGTTTCATAGTAAAATAACATTTTAAGTTATATTTACTTACATAAAAATAAACTTTAAACAAATGAAAACACAACATATTAGCAAGACAAAGAATCTCCTTCCAAAAATAAACTACAAAATCAATTTAGGAGAGTATCAATTATCATTAGGTGAACATATGATTGCAGGATAGAGATTTCTTGCTTTTTCTGATGCAATAGCTGTTTTTGTATTTTATTTAGCCATAGGCAAAACCCTATATTCAGCAGTGACTTAATAAAATAAAGGAAGCATAGCCAATGCCATTTTCTTACACTTAGATGTCTTTTTTTGTTAAATTAATTTTTATTTAGTTTTTAGAAACTAATTGGTCTACTAACATATTAATTGAACAATTAATAAATTACATGGCATTTGAGGTGTTTTTATTCAACTAGCTTTTAATTAACATATTAAAAGCTACTTTTTTTCATCAGACTGAAAATATTTCCTTAAAATTTGTAAAGGTTTACTGAAAATATGCAACCATTTATCTTCTGAGTAATTATAAGCAAAATCACATTTGTTGAATGACATAGTAACTGAAAATTGAATGACAGTTATCTTTGTGTTTGTTTGTTTATTGGTGCAGGTTTCATTGGTCAGTTTAACAGCGAATGCCTTGGGTTACTCCGAACTTGGTGCCATCAAATCTCTCAGGACACTAAGAGCTTTGAGACCCCTAAGAGCTTTATCACGATTTGAAGGGATGAGGGTAAGGAAACTGAAAGAACCAGAAGTATAGCCTATAGCCAAAATTAAATTATATTGAGTTTTAAAAAGGAAAAAAACCCATGCATGCAAAGGAATGGCAAATCCTTGCAAAATTGCTCCTTTATCTTTTTATCTGTTGCATATTTACTTCTAGGTGATATGCAAGAGAATTTAGGCCTCCCTTGAAATGATACAATATCATTTATCTGCTGTGCTTATTAAAATGACTTTATTTCCTAATCTATCTTGGGAGTTTCCTTACAAACCTGTATACAAAAAAGCAAATGCACTATTAGAAGTACTGTGTGTAATGATATGATAATAACCAACTAAAGTGAATCTGACATCATGTGCTTCTCATTGTGATGATCTAAACTGTACTTTATGAGTTTTATTGAAAATAATATGAATCACACATGTGCCTAAGAATAAGCATAAAGAAAGAAAAAATTGACAGAGTTTTGTCTGTATAATGCCAAAGCTTGCATTATTGTAATATTTTCAAGGGTAGATATTAAATATTTACTAAATTTTAAACCTTTTAAAAAAGTTATGTTTAATATAGCCTCAATTTATAATTGCATTAATCTTCTTAATTTATACAAATAGTAATAGTAACTTAAAGATTTTATATATAAAGCCACACAATTTTTCATGACAATGTGGTAAAACATTTACAGCATAATGAACAGAAAATGTAATTTTGACTCATTACATAGATGATTTATAAATTAACCATAACTTAAATCTTATTTATCAGAATTACACAAAACTTTATATTATTTCTTCTAAGGAAATACTAAACCATTCCCTATGGTTTGTAACAGATTAGAAATTTTGTTGTAATATACTTGTTAATTTTCCAGACCTTTTTAAAAAGCATGAAGCACTTACATATGCTATATAGAATAGAAAGTAGTTATTTATTAAAAAATCAATTTTTAACCAGAACAAAGATTTTTAATTAAGAAAAAATATTGCTCTTTTATTGACTAAGATTTAGTTATGTTTGTAGTATCTAAGCAGACTTGTCTATTTCCATTTGCATTTTTCTAGGTTGTTGATAGCCTTATAATATGTTCTTCTAAAATAAAAAATTTTTAAATGTCACTTTTTAAGAGCATAAGACTTGTCTTCAGTTTCCTAACACATATAAATAATTTCCTCATTAGAAACAATTTAACACAATATAAGATAGTCTTATTTTATTTCTCACAGAGATCCTTATGTTTTTACTAAAACATTAAAGTAAATTCTCCCCAGAGTATGTGAAAATTAAGTTTATTTTCCAATTAAATGTCACTTCCTATTGTTTTATACTGCCAGGGTCAGTTCTGGAGAAAAATATCACTTTAATACATTCTACTTGAAAACTTGTCACCTGAATCAAAGTATAGCAGTTCCCCTTTATTCGAGGTTTCACTCCATGGTTTCAGTTATCCATGGTCTGAAAATATTAAATGGAAAATTCCAGAAATAAATAACTCATACATTTTTAATTGTGTGCCATTCTGAGAAGGCACACACCATCCAGCTATGTACCACCCAAGACATGACTCATCTCTTTGAATAGTGAGATAGTCACTTAGTAGCTTTCTTGTTTTTCAGACTGACTGTCACGGTATCGTAGTGCTTGTATTCAACTAACCCTTATTTTGCTTAATAAGGCCCCCGAAGCTCAAGAGTAGTGATCCTTATAGGGCATGTTTCCTTCAAGTGAAAAGAGCAGTACAGTACAGTAAGATATTGTGAAAAGAGAGACCCCATTCACATAACTTTTATTATAGTATGTTGTTATAATTGTTCTATTTTATTATTAATTATTGTTGTTAATATCCTATTGTGCCTAATTTATAAATTAATCTTTATTCTAGGTTTATATGTATAGGAAAAAACACAGTGTATATAAGGTTTAGTACTACCCTTAGTTTCAGGCATCCACTAGGGGTCTTGGAATGCATCCCTCCCAGATAAGAAGAGACTACTGTCATACGTTTTAACTGTCTCCTGAAATCTAAACAGTGCTAAGCATTTGAAGATGTTATAAACATTTTGAAATTGACCATGAATCAAATGGCCAGATACTCCTGTATTTAACACTTTATTTTTGTAACAATGTTGATCTTGTGCATCTACCTGCAATTTTTACAGGAATAACCTTACCTATACTTTTTGATCGATGAGGCTTTTTATGATATAAGGAGAGATTAGTTTTTGAATCTTCGAGTTTCAAAAGCACAAACTCCTTATAAATACTGATAGAAGATGAACTAGTCATTTAAATTAATAGATTTATGAATATGGTTCCTTGCCTCACAATGACAGCATATACACAACCCTAAAATGGCTGATCATTTCAGTGTGTATTTGGCATTGTAGAGACAAAATTATCTGATTATAGATTCTGTTTTTCTGTGTTTCTAAGTGTTTGGATCTTTTGACTTTTTATAAAATGTAATCATGGATGGTGGTGAGGATGGAGATAATAATGATAATTATAATTGGGAAGTGAGATTGGAATATACGTAGAAACTCTCATTTTATTCTTTTTCCTAGCAGCATAAAATCACAATAGCTGTGTAAAAGCGTAAATCAGCCACTCATTTTCTTTCTGTTGTCTTGTCACATTTTCAGAGCATGTGCTTTTATGCGACATTACCAAGGAAAGCATGTTGCACAATGCTTGATAGGAAGTTAGAAAGTAATAAACAAATTATCATCACGTTGCACTTTATGTTTTGCATGTTTTATGCACATTCTGGCTGAGAGCTTTTCAACATTTATTGTATTTCAAATTTCCAGTCCAAATTTTTCAACTTGTAAAATTGAACTGAGTGAATTGATGTCATGACTATCTAGAGTAAAATAAAATTTGTACTTAAATTTGTGTTCTTAATTTCCTAATCTAGGAAATGGTAAAGACCTTTTTCAAAAGAACTCAAGTCTTGATTGATAGGGAAACAGACAGAGAGCATCATAAAAAAAAGTAACACCAAATGTTCTGTCATATCAGATTTCTAACTAATAACAAACTATATATTTCTATTTTATATAGGATAATCTTGCTCCAACTTGGATGGGGTGGAGCGCTGGTTCCTCCCCTCAGCCCTTTATTATGGGTACTGTATTACCCCTTTTGCTACCTTTCATCCTTTCACTGTGACTTTGTGTAGTGGGATGAGGGAGGGATTGGGAAGGGTACCACAGTAGGGAAAATATAGTATTTACATTCTAATTCCCAATTTTCAACTGTCTTGAATTTTCTTTTGAGAAAAGTAGCTTTGAGTATTTATTTACCCTCTGTGGATTTGAACCCCAATCATTGATGTTTTTATTAAGTTTCATTGAATATGGTTTAGTTATGTGTATATTGAGCTACCTATTGATGGGGTGATTGACTGATTGGTGATGGTGGGGAACCTTGGTTTAGAAGGATTGGGTGAATATTTTAACTTGTCAAGTTCATGATGCTCTTTGAGACATACAACCCTTGCCATTTTTTGCATTGGTCTGGGTCCTAAAAATTGCCAGCAGTTGATTCCTTGCCTTGTTGACTTACATGAGCAGATGCGAGGGTACAATATTTCTGGTTTCTTAAGACTGGTATTGACTGGGTGACCATTCTCACTTTTTTATTAAGTGTAAATTTATAGGGTTCCTTTAAAAATGTAACAAGGCAAAAATATATTATGAAAGAGTTGAGTTAGCACATGTGATTTATATTTTAAATGAAACAACATACAAGTACTTTTTTGAATTATGTAGACTAACACACCCACCTAAAAATAAAACAGATTTCTTAGCATGTGTGTTAAGATAAGATGTTTAAATTAATAAATTTAAATTAAATATTCATTAAATTTAGATGTATTAATTAAATGAATTTAATACAAAAACTCACTTTTAGAATAAGATCCATCTAACTGCTTAGGATCTTAGAAGATGTCACAGTAAAAACATAAATGAAAATAAATCCACATTTTATGTATTCCTAAAGTTTAGAAATAATGTCCAAGAAGGAGAGTTTTTATTTTTGAGGCAAAAAAAGGTTGGAGTATTTTCATGGACAATTGATGTATCATATCTTCCAAAAATAATTACCTTAATTAAATTCCACAACAAATATAGTCATTAGATTTTAAAAAGATTATCTGACTCATCTTCATACTTAATAATGTGTGATTTCTACTTTACCTACTTTTATTTTTTTATTCATGTAGTTATTTTGTATTTGGATTAGAGAAACATTAGAATCCATGAGTAGTGTTGATTTCAAGTTCAAAGTCAATTCGTTCAGATAAGAAGACATTTCTGCATGTATCAAAATTCCTCACATTAATTTGCATATTCAATTGTCAAGTCCTCATTTCATATTGATTTAATCAAAACTGCAGATAAGGAACCAAAAATAGAGTTTTTATGAGAATGGATTGTGCCAGAATAGTGAAATAGCATTTGATGATGTTTTACAAAACATTTGTGAGAAGAAGCAACCTCTAATGTTAATTCCTTAAAATAATCTCTTTCTTAGATATCTCATTTTACACAGCCTGAAACCTCAATCCGTTCCTTCCAGTGTATTCAGGCTAGTGCTGCCTAGCGCCTTTACCAAATGGGAACCAATTACTGCAGTTCTCTGGAGGCTGGAAAGAGTTAATACACGTCTTTCTGTCCTAAACCAAGAACGGTCTTGAGGCTCTTGGGAAAGACAGTCCTTTCCCCCTGCTCCTTCATTGCCCATTTTAATAAATTTTGAGTATGAATGGGCCTTTGTATAGTAAATTCCCTAATACTAGTGGAATATTTTCTTACATATAGTTATTTTACCTTCATAAAAATAAACCTTTTCTCTGGGCCAAATGTATGCCAACATTGTAATAATGTCTGAAAGGCAGTGCTGTGGAGCACTTGTACCATAAATGGATTAGTTTTAATGCCAAACAAGTCTCCTTTTTCAAAGTAAATCTCTCAGACATATTAACTAACCCCCAATTTTTTGTTGTACCCAGCTCTTTATTCTCATTCCATATCCACAATGAGCATTTAACAATTATGCTTTGATCAATAAATGCTAAGCTAAACTTCATTCATTCAATGAACCATTTTTATATTCCTTTATTCAAAGCACTCTGTTATATTCCTATTTTCATGGCACTCAAGGCCTTGGAGAATTCACAAATATATTTTTCCATCTTAAATTTTAAAAAAAATAAAAAGCACACCATCAGTGAGGATTATTAGAATGTAATGAACTCTAATGAAGAGCAATATGTGTACCAGATAAGTGCAAGAACTCTAAGGAGAATTAGTGAAGTTGAATGCAAAGAGCACTAGATGGTACTTCTTTCTAGTCTCCTTTCTGAACTTGACCTACCTTAGCCTCATTCTTCTCATTTACCAGATGAGAACACAATACAAATTATTTCTATGGCCCTGACGAGCACTGGAATTCTAATTCTGGAAGTCAAAAGAGGAAACATTCACCTTTATTTTGGAAGCTAAACGGAGGGGGGAAAGTTAGGCTCCATGAAAAAAAAAAAAGTGCTGCTTGAAATAAAGCTGGGAAGAAGAAAGAGTATCTAAGTAAAGAGGATTTGGGACAAGAAATGGCAACTCAGTAGGGTAATAATGTTAGATTGTCATGAAGAGTAGGTGGCTAGCGAATTGAAAACTAGAAATGTAGATTGTAGAGTATTTTTAATATCAAGGTAGGGACATTTTTGATAATGAGTGGGAAGCCATTAAATAATTTTAAAGTGAGACTTGGAGAAGATTAATTCATCTTACATGGATCAAAGGAAGGAGAAATTAGAAGGCTCTGATGATAGTGCAAGTATACGCTCTCAGAGGCCAGAACTAGGATGGTGGAGGTGAAAATGGAAAAGAAGCGACAGAGGTGATAACGGTTTTGAAGAAGTATGACACCTACAGATCGATATGGAAAGAAATAGGTGTAGGTAACCATTGCTCTGGTCATGCTGTAAATTGGCTGTTGGTAAAAATATACATTTTAACATGTACTCTCCTGTGTGCACAATAGAAATAGCTTTTTTATCTGGATGGTAGGCAAAATATTTAGAAAAAAGAGGCAAGTAAATAATAACTCGACTTCAGCTTTCAAATTTTGAATCCAAGAGAAATCTAAGTGTATCCACATATTTAAAATGAAGTATAAAATAAATATTTTTTTCAGTCAATTACATTAATGCGGAAAGCCAAATGAGATAAGGCAAGGTGCCACGGGTCAATGAGAGTAGGCTGCATAGATGACATCATTCGGATCTGCCTGGATAACTCAACTGATTTACTTTTCATGCTCATGTCTCCACCTTTGTCATTAGTGGTTTTATCCTATCCTTTGGCCCACTTATTACACTATCTTGTAACCCCAGAAGGCCTACGGTTACTTACAGACTTTAGTAAGTCACTAAATATCAGGGTTCAGAAGCATCCGGAATTCGCTATGTTTTTTCAGAAACTTTGTTCTAAAAATACACTGACATCCTATGGCCGATAGAGGATATTTTGAAGCCTGTTGTTTGCTTTGGATCAGATTGACAAGAATACTGAGATTCATTGGGAAAATTCACTTAGCTATTAATGTTCAAGTCTGAGGGGCCATCTGCCACTGAGGAGCATGGTAGGGGCTGCTTTCTTTTCCCTCTTAGCCACTCACATACAGCTCCAGTGGGAACTGTGGAGGGGGAAGCAAGGACAGGCATCTCTACAATGTTGCCAAATATGAAAACTCAGATTTTGAATTTATGATAAAGAAATAAAGACAAGGGGAGAGAACATGTTTCAGTAGGAGAGAGTAGATAATTAGCACAGAACCTGATGTAATCACATCAGATTTGGGAAATATATATGGCATCCCTCCTTTTCTTATTTTCCTAAGAAACTGATTTCTATTATGTTTCATTTAAAATAAGTTTATTGCATTAAACTCAGTAAATGAAACAACTGACATGACTGGAGCTTGAAATAAAGATGTGATGATCTAATGAAATACATAATGCTAAAGTGTCTTGCTTCTTCTGCAAAAATTATTAGTCATAGCAATGCATGAATAATTAAGGACAAAATTATGTCAGGTATTTAATATTTTTATACTTATATATCTTAAATTTTAATTAATTAGAGTATATTGGTCAAATCAACTTATCCAAATATTTTAGTTTTGTTTTTTAATATATTGCCTTTTTAAAAATGAGTTAGTCTATATTAGGATTTCCTACTTCTCTCTTTTTTTTTTCTTCTAATAAACGGCACATATTCTGACTTCCTCTGGCAGCAAATTCCTCTAATTTTGCTTTTCCTTTAACTTTTGAGTACTTCCCCTTCTCTATTTTTAAACTTTTTGTTTCTTTGTCATATTATCTATATTTGTTTCCCTAAATGTATTGCTTAAGAAATAATAGATTTTATTGTAAGATTTTCTTACTTTATTTTTCCAGTATAAACTCAATACTGAAAAATTAAAGATTGGTAGGGGGATGTCTTATTTTCTTAACCAACAAGAATTCTGACTTTCCTTTTTTTCCATTTGTGTATTAGGTGGTTGTGAATGCCCTTTTAGGAGCAATTCCATCCATCATGAATGTTCTTCTGGTTTGTCTTATATTCTGGCTAATTTTCAGCATCATGGGTGTAAATTTGTTTGCCGGCAAATTCTACCACTGTATCAACACCACAACTGGTGACATATTTGACATCAGCGAAGTGAACAATCATTCTGACTGCCAAAGGCTAATAGAAAGAAATGAAACAGCAAGATGGAAAAATGTGAAAGTAAACTTTGATAATGTAGGATTTGGGTATCTCTCTTTGCTTCAAGTTGTAAGTGAACACTCTTTTTCTCTGAAATTTGTTTATTGTTTGGAATAATAACAAAGTAATTACCTATATCCATTATTTAGCTACTAAAGAAGAAAGTTTATAACATTTATTTTTCTAATTTTGTTTTATTAGTACCAGTTTATGAGCCCAAGTGGGTGGAAACTCTATATATTTAAGCAATACAGACATAGTTGATAGTGGCCAGGTATTTCAGTTCATTCCTAAGGTCTTTTTCTCTTTCTTCTCATATTGCTTTCTCTTCCCACGTGAAAATGTTGATTAATACATCAATAAGTTTATTATTTTTTTCTATTGCAATTGCAGAGCTTGTTTTCACTGAGGGATCACCTCCCCGCCACCCTTGCCCCCGCCACACACACACACACACACACACACACACACACACACGCACACACACACAAAAGCACACAGACTCAATACACCTGATTAGACTGACGCTGGTGGGCATTAACTGTTACTGAGTTGTATCATTTGGATTGAAGGTCAGGGAATGATATTCAGGTTTTAAGATCAGATTCTCACAATGAAATGGAAATAATAGCGGATAATGCCCAGATACAGAAAAGAAACATAAGCAGCTGTGGTTACACCTCAAATGACCTTTCAATACAATTACTTATGTCTATTTTATCATACTAGTAATGTTTTCACTCCTGGATCTCTAAGTCTGACACATACAAAATAAAAATATAATTTATGAGAATGCAAAAGATGGTGGCCCTTTAAATAGTTTCCTATGATGCTGCATTTAGCTGCAGCTGCATATTAACAAAGCAGTGGAGAAAGGCTGCTGAAATGCCACTTAAAATTTTTAAAAGTTGAGTAAGTTCTCCCCTTGTGATTTTATGGAGTTCTTAGGGCAGAAGTCTATTTTTTTTTTCATCAAGGTTATGATTTCAGTTGTTCAGCTGAAGACTAGACAAGCAAACAAACCTACACTGGTCTCTTGCATCTCTTTCAGAGGTGTCTGTACTACTATTTTTTACACATTCTTCCCACCTTGTTAGAATTCTTATTTCTCTTGTGGATATTGCTGACTTATTCTGAATGCTCATGCAATTAAAATAAATTAAAACAGGGATTTTAAAAAATCTAGCATGTATGATTTATTTAAATATTATAGTAGACACATTATATTTCCTTGGGCATTTAGCCTAACCATTAACTAATGGCCACACTTGTAAAAGTGTCTCACTTCATAAAATTGAGGAAATAGAATTTAAAAACTTCCAAGGAATTCCTTAAAATTCTGAAAATAGAGGATAATGAACCTGCACAAAACTATAAAATAAATTCTGCTCTTTAAGAAACTAAGTTTTACACTTAGCTTTAAGCAGAATTGCCTCTCTGTTGTTTAGTAATTCACTGAAATGGTTCCTTGAATCACCATTCTCTGTTTATGTTCCTAGTGTGTGATGGATATGTTCTATCATTGACCTCAGCCATTGATACATTCAATATTTCCCTCTTTGATATACAAATAACTTCTATTTTCTAGCTAACAGTCATTTCATGATCTTCACAGTCATCAAACCCACCGTTATGTGGCTCTCTTCCTACAATATCCACCACTTCACAAATGTTAGTGTTATGAAAATATATGTGTATTGTGTTGCAATACAGATGCTGAAAGCTTAGTAAAATTACTAGCTAACAAACAATCCTATCAGGCTCATAGGACTCAAAATTTATATCATGGGGCAAATAACAAATTGCTATAAGTTATTAGACTCAGGATCCTTCTTGAATTTATGAATGCCAAATGTCTACTGTACATTTTTTCACCTTTCTTATGCATATTAACTCACTCTCATAAAAAATTATATAGAAGAATGTAACATAGGATTATTTCTGGATGTTATATTCCAAAATTCTTAAAAGGATAGTTGCAACTCTGACTTTATATGCAGGGGTGGGCAAAAGTAGGCTTAGAGTTGTAATACAAATAAATAATATGATCTTTAGTGTTACAAATAAAGAGAAATCTTAAACTTTTGGATACTTTGATCACCTTACAGATAGATTTCAGTAGATGATCAGATCATAGTAATTGTTTTGCTGCTACAGATATTGCCAAATGTGGTGGTATTTGTAAAGCTTTCTAAAAGCATTCTTCCAAATTC